TGTCACCTGGGGTGTCACCTGGGCAGGGACACACCTGGGGACATTAAGGACATTGGTGTGTTCAGCGTGCAGAACAGCACCTGGGACAGGTGAGCACACCTGGGGGTCACCTGAGTGTCACCTGGTGTCACCTGGGACAGGTACACCCCTGGGTGTCACCTGGGGACATTGGGGACATTGGGACATTGGTGTGTTCAGCGTGCAGAACAGCACCTGGGACAGGTGAGCACCTGGGATGTCACCTGGGGTGTCACCTGGGCAGGGACACACCTGAGTATCACCTGAGATGTCACCTGGGGCAGGAACACACCTGGGTGTCACCTGGGGACATTGGGACATTGGTGTGTTCAGCGTGCAGAACAGCACCTGGACAGGTGAGCACACCTGGGAGTCACCGGGGTGTCACCTGAGTGTCACCTGGGTGTCACATGGGGTTACCCGGGGTGTCACCTGGAACAGGTACACACCTGGGTGTCACCTGGGGACATTGGGGACATTGGGACATTGGTGTGTTCAGCGTGCAGAACAGCACCTGGACAGGTGAGCACCTGGGATGTCACCTGGGTGTCACCTGAGTGTCACCTGAGTGTCACCTGGGGTGTCACCTGGGCAGGGACACACCTGAGTGTCACCTGAGTGTCACCTGAGTGTCACCTGGCACAGGGACACACCTGGGTGTCACCTGGCGACAGGACAGCACCAGGGGACACTGGGACATGGGGACACTGGGGTGGTCAGCGTGTCATCCCAGTCCATCCCAGTCCCATCCCAGTCCATCCCAGTCCATCCCAGTCCCATCCCAGTCCCTCCCAGTCCATCCCAGTCCATCCCTATCCCATCCCAGTCTATCCCAGTCCATCCCAATCCCATCCCAGTCCATCCCAGTCCCTCCCAGTCCCTCCCAGTCCATCCCAGTCCCTCCCAGTCCATCCCAGTCCATCCCAGTCTATCCCAATCCCATCCCAGTCTATCCCAATCCCATTCCCAGTGCTCCCAGTCCCTCCCAGTGCTCCCAGTTCACCTCGCTGGGCGGGATGCCGAAGGCCTCGCCGATCTTGCCGTACAGCTCGCGCACGTTGCCGAATC